TTTATGACCAAGTAGAGGTGCTATAAACATTGACATTGTAAATTTTTAAATTTTTTGCACCTAAGTTTTATTTCATTTCTCAGCCTTCCCACTCTGAAGTTTTTTGTTTGTTTTTTTCCCCCTTCAGGGATTTCATGTTTAGATAGACTATATTTCAGTCTAAGATGAGTCTTAACTGGATCTTTCCAGGAGCCTACCCAGTTGCCCCAGGATCTTGTCCCTTCTGATGGTGAATGCTGTTCCTCGCATACTCAGTTTTCATCTGTTAGGTGATTTCTGCACCCTTTATTCTGTCCATGAGCATCTCCTCATTTATGGTTTTGGAGCTTTGTAGCAAGCCTGGAACCTGGTGATATCAACCTCACATTTTCCCATATTATTTTTCTTCATTTTTAATTTATTGGGAAAATTCCATTTGTAGTAAGTCATTCTCTTAAAGTTTTTGCTTAATGTAGAGTTGACATTTTATCATCTTAGATCATCTTACCTAGCATCGATGCCTTTTTGTTTGGCTACACTGTTTACTTAGCATTTTATTCTGTAATCTTTCATGTTCACTGGTAATTAAATTATTACTGATATAAGAGAAAGGAGTCATTTGTTCCATCGTACGTTCTAACCAGCTGCTACTGGAGCAGAGAGAGAGGTGTGCTACTTCCCTTGTGCTGGGAGTGCTTCTCAGGAGCCGTCAGCTGCAGGTGGCCAGGTGCATCGCCTACATGCATCATGCAGTGCTCCTTCCGCCTCTCTGCCTCACTTGGAAGTGTGCCCAGGTGGTAGGGGCAGTAAGCCTTCAGGTGCCAGATCCTGGGTCTGACCAGAGGTGTTCCCTGGGTTAAGGAACTTCTCTTTTCTGGTTATCCATCTGCAAACAAGGGTTCAGCAAGCGGGGGACAATGCAGAGCTAACACATGTGAGCACCTGCGTAGTGGCCTGGCATGAAATACGTAGTAATATTAGCTAATACTCACTTTCCCCTTGAGCACAACACCAGCTGTGTATTATCACGTCACAGAGGTGACTCGTGGAGAACTGATTCTTCCTCTCCGTGGAATTTAGCAAGGAACACTGACCTGAGTAAAGTCAGGTGGGGCGTGTTTCTGTCTGTAGACTCAGTATTAACCCCATGCTGCATGTGATATGTCCTTGTCCTCTCACCAGGTGGGCTGGATGACACTCTGCACACCATTATTGATTATGCCTGTGAGCAGAACATCCCCTTTGTGTTTGCTCTCAACCGCAAGGCTCTAGGGCGCAGTTTGAACAAAGCAGTTCCTGTCAGCGTTGTGGGGATCTTCAGCTATGACGGGGCCCAGGTGAGAAGGGGCTCAAGTCTCATTGGTCCCTGCCCATGGGAGGAAGTTGGGGAAGAGTAGACCACGTACCTGCCTGCAGGATAGTCCTGAACCCCTGGAAGGTTGGCACCGAGAAGCCACCACTGAGGCAGAACCTTCTCAGTGGAGCAGTGGTCTCTGGCTCAAGGCTTACTGCCAACACAGAGGCCCCCACACAGGCCTGCGAAGTCAGCCTGGCCCATTCTTCAAGCAGAATCCTAACCACCCACAGGCACAGAGGCCACGCTGCCCATGTTGCCCCTGCTCCCCTGTGGAGGGTGCTGTAGAGTGTGCAGGGCAGCTCTGGGCATTCAGTGGACATCACCTGTGTGCTTTCACTTTGCTCAAGGACCAGTTCCATAAGATGGTCGAGCTGACGATGGCAGCCCGGCAGGCTTATAAGACCATGCTAGAAAACGTGCAGCAGGAGCTGTCCGGAGAGCCCAGGCCTCAGACTCCTCCCAGCACCCCCAGTCAGGGCCCCTCCGCCACCACTGGAGAAGAAGAACCGCACTACAGTGAGTGCTCGGGGATGGTCTGGTGTCGGGGTGAGTGTCTTGGAAGTTGCTCGTCAACTTGAATCAGGGTCCTTAGGAGAGCAGCTTGCTACCGGTGCTACAAGACCGTCTGCAGTGGGGTGTGGAAGGCCGCCCAAGACCCACAGCAGTAGGGCCAGTGGTCCAGGCCATTGCCTGTGGGATGTTAATTATCCGACTTTGGAAGTTGTTTCAGACAGGCTTCAACAGAGGGGCCCTTAAGGGAACTTCTACCTCCCACCTTGGGAGGCTGGGTTTCTCAAGGTCATTAGTCACTGAGGTGTGCTCCCACAGGGTATGATTGGTGCCATGCCTTGTTGGGGTACTTGGCCCAGCAGGAGGGGAGGAGCGAGGTGGAGCCTGCTGGAGACTCGCCTGAACAAAGCGAGCGCTGTACTGGCAGCGTCTGTCACTTGCTCCACCACGCTGACGGTTTCTGATGGAGGAATTCTGTGACTTGTCATGTCTGCTGCTCACTTGCGCTGTTTTCCTATTTTAGTTGAAATCTGGAGAAAGCATCTGGAAGCATACAGTCAACATGCCTCGGAAGTAGAAGACTCTCTGGAGGCTTCAACCTCTCAGATGATGAACTTGAATTTATAAGAAAAGAGTTCTTCCTTGTGTGTCTTTGTGTTTGGGGCAAGGAGGGAGGAGGCTTAAAAAGACTTTGGGGCTTTTTCGTCTCAGTTTTTGCTGACCCAATGTATTTTGTATGACTGTTGAATTTGGAAATTAACCGGCATGAAAGTGCATGTGAACTGTGGTCATAGGCCCTCAAAGCAGTGAATCCCATCGAATGGATGCTCAGGTATATGGCAGAAATCTTGTCTGAAAGCTTGGTGAGACAGCTCTGCCTTTCTGAGCATGCTGTGGACCTGGAATGTACTGGAAATGGGGTACTTGAGTACTGGGGCTCCAGGGAAGTTTTGCATTGCAGCGTAACTGAGCCGTAACTGAGCTGAGTGGGGTCTGCAGCAAGCAGCGGTGGTGCTCTTGCCTGCAGGGGGCCCATGGTGAGGTGACTGGGGGGAGGTGCCAATCCCTTCACAGGGTCACTGACATAGGAGCAAGAGGGCACTGGGGAGGGCCCTTTCTCAGGGGACCTAGCTCTTCACCTTAACCATAGAGAGGGTTTGCTAAAATGAGCCTCAGAAGGAAAATTGGTTTTCTAACCTGTGACGTTTTTAACCTGGATTATTCCTTTAGTCTTTATTTTCCAAAGAAGCAATGTACGTTGAAATTCCTAGTTTCAGTTTAATAATCTACAAATCTTTCTTAAGTAAACATTTTCTGAATGTGGTTTCTGTCATAGAGGCCAGGGAACAGAGCTTACTTTCATATTTTCCCTGTAAGTAAGAGGGCATATTTATTTTGAATAAAGAGTGATTATTTAATCTTGTATCAGATTCTGGTGATCTCAGGCTCAACAGTGGACTCAGGCTTCCTGACCCTTCCTCCATCCTGATTTGTCCTTCTTGGACACTGGCCTTTGAACTGACAGGACCAAGCAGGGGGAGCCCGGCGGCCCCTGGCTTAGAAGTAGTGACTGCTGAAGTCTCCTTCCTGCTCACGCCTGCAGGGCGAGGTCCTGCTCAGCCCCACTCCTCCCCACATGCATTATTTTGGTCAAAGTCAGTTACAAAAAAGGATTTTTACTACTGCTTGCTTGTCGGGCAAACAGGTATTATTTTGATTCAACATTCTCTTAATTGAAATCATTTGTACCTAACATTGCACCTCTGAGAAGTAAGTGGCCTGTGATGAGCAAGGACAATTGAGCAAGTAAGTCATGAGTGGCATGCTGCCTCTTCAGAGCTCACGGTGACCAGGGTGTGCCCATTTGTACGTTCGGAGCTGCCTCAATGTGGGAGATGGATGTGGGTAGCCAGGTTAGTAGTACAGAGGAGGGGTCTCCTGTACCCCCACCACCACATCAGGAGGTAGCAAGTTGATTGTAGTGGGTTTGAAAATAGACTACTTGAGAATCAAGCCCCCCAAATTAATTTGTGGGCAAAAATTTAAATAGCATGTCAACTAGAGTCAGCAGCTAAAATTTTAGAATTTGATCCAATAGAACAGTATCTTAAAATCTCTGTTGGAGGCAAAAGCCATTTGCCCAAAGGCCCTTCTTGGAGTTCTCTAGATCTGTGGTACTTGTTCTGCTAACACGGACATAAATCCAGGTTCAGTAGAGGACGTGTGGTTGGATTTTAACCTCTCAGCTTCCAGAGGTTTCCTTCTCATTGGACCCAATCAGGTTGTCACCCGAGGGTTCCCTCGGCATGCCATTGCTTTCTTGGCAGAGGAGGACTCCATTTGCAGCCAGCACTGCAGGTGACTTCAGCCAATGGCACAATGTAGGGTGCTGGGGGCTCCAGGATAGCATCAAACTGGACAGGCGGGCAGCTCCTGACTTTGAACAGTGCAAGAAATCAGATTCTCCCTCATGACCACATTTCCCAGCAGACCCTCCCTATTCCCTTAAACCTAAACTCCAGACTACAGGGAAGATACAGAAAATGCACCAAGGGACAGGTCCCAGCTGAGAGCAGTTTGGTCAGTTGTTGGTCGTGGTTGAAGCCACATCCCCGCATGTGAATGACAGTGAAAGCTGATGGAGACTTAACCGGATTTTAAGGTTTCGTATTAAGATGGTTCTGCAAGCAAGATCTGTGTTCTTTGGCCCCAAGGGCGAGCAGGTGCCCAGGCAGTACCTGGCCCTCCAGTCCATGGGGAGGAGAAGGGGACAGTGTGTGGCATCTTGGGCGCTGGCCTGAAACTCAGCTGGGTCCTTGTTCATGCTGGATCGTGAAGTTGCTGTCTGGAACATGCACGCTGATCCTATGCGATGGCTGGTCCCAGACTCCCCGGCTCCAGAGAGGAGGGACACAGAGCCAACTGTGGTGCAGCCAAGGTCTCAAGAGGAACACTTTATTTTTAACAGAGGTTTTGGTTTATAACAGCTATGAAAATCATCTGCCGACGAGAATTGACATGTCTCTGAGATTAAAGGCTAAGCAACTTCAGGGCCAGGCCTACACAAGTTCACACTCAGCGACAGGCTTCAGAGCACAGCTGTAATAATTAGAGACCTGGAAGCAGGCATAACAAAGCACTCGGGACTCAGACCTTTGTCAGGAAAATTTAATATGGCACCAGGAGATTTGCATAATTGACCAGTTTGGCTTTCTACCTCAAGCCTGGTGTCCCATGGAGAAGCGGAGCACTTATAGGTAAACACAGGCAGGAACCACGACACATTAGAAAACAGAGCCCGTGTTCCGAGGGGAGTGAAGAGTGGCACAGGTGGGACAGCTCCGCCCTGGCCCGGCCCTCCTCATCTCTCACGTCTTACGCAAAGGACTCTTCCTTAGAATCTCACCCTCCCGTCCAGGGAGTGGACCTTAAAGTTAAATGGCTAGGTGTTTGGGTGGGCACAGCCGCTGACTTGACTGAATCTGTAAAACCAGTGGTGGGGGCTGGGCACTAGCCTGCGAGCTCTCGGGTTGCGGGGTGGGTATAACCAAGTCCTAGGGATCCTGTAGGGGTGGCCACTAGGGGGAGGAGGAGCCCTGACACTTGTTCTTTTGCCACAACTGCCTTGGTTTATAGTTTCTAACCATCCTGGTCACCTGTTTCTGACAGGTCCTAAGCACCTAATTAAAATAAATTCCTGGTTACAGTCCCAGGCCCACTTGGGGTTCAGTGCTTCTCCACTACCCAGCATCTGGAGGGACCAGTCAGGTAGTGTCCTGAAGGCTGTGTGCATCGCTGGTCGGGTTGCTGGGGCCTTCTTCAGGGGCGACCGTGGCTGGTGGCAGCAGGATCTGCTCAGGGTCTTGTCCAGAACATTCCTCATGCCTAGAAGTTATCCTCGCTACAGCTTTCCTGCAAGAACAAGGTGGTCTCTGAATTCCTGCAGAGTGCTGTGTGGCCTGCTTTCTCCCACACTGTCACAGAGATAGTGGTGAAGGCCTGGCACTGGTGAGATTCCCCTTTGGGGTCCAAGGAGTGATTTTTCCCATAGATGTCAGAAATCCAAAGAGACCGCCCATTTGCCTAATTCCTGGTCCTGCTTCTTCAAACAGGCACTCTGCAGCCTGGACTGCTCACCTAGATGTTCCCAAAGGCTAGGGGTAGGGGGCGCTGCCTCTCCTCCAGTATGAAGGACCAGCTGTAAATGCCATCAGTTCTATTGGCAACAACTGCAAGAGCTTTCAGCAGCCGTTTAATCCACAACCCTTCAAGACCCTTGGCCAATGCTAGTGGGGACCTGTGTGGCAGCACATCCAATAGCCTCTGGCTTTGCCTTCTGGTGGCAGCTAATAAAACAGTGACTAGGAGCAGGGGCCAGACAGCTCCTGCCTACGTTGGGGAGTCTTGCCAGGGATGCCACTGGCCCATGGTTGCTGCAGCTGTGGTTCTGAGGACTGACCCTGCCAAGATGAGGTGTGGGACATACCTCGCCCCAGAAGCACCCAGCACAAGGAGGCCGCTCAACCTGTGTAGGTCTCCTGCACTCTTCAGAGTAGCTCCGCCGTGCTTTGACATGTCCATGGGCAGCCACTGGACTGTGCCTGCCTCCCTGATCCTGCCTGACTTGGTCACCTTAAGGTCTGTAGGTCCCCTGCAGCCTCAGTGACAGTACCCAGTATTGCTGCAGGGTTGCAGTATTCAAAAAAAAATAGAGCCATTTGCATGCTGAGAGGCAGCAGGAAGGGCCCATTGACAGAATGGGGGCCCCTGAAGGATCCTTCCTGTGGCCAAGTACATACCCAAGCTTTCCTCCAGCCCCGCATCAGCCGGTCATGCTCCCCGACCACAGCCCTCCAGGCTGCCAGCTCCTTGCTCCACCTCTCCTGCTGGGCTGCCTCTGGAAGACAACCAGGTCTATGTCAGCTCTGCCAGCCTTTGCAGCACTGTTGAAGCTCACTGTCCACCAAAGCTGTGTCCCAGGCTAGGTGGCCAGGGTGAGCCCAGCTCTGACCTGTACTCATGGCCCAACCCCCCAGGAGGCCCCTTGCTGGGTGAGCAGGGCTCCCAGTGTCTGCTGGGGGCCAGCCATGTTGCCTGGGTGAGTTGGGCCTAGCTTTTAGAGTGCTGACCGTAGTCAGGGTGTCCACCCTCCTCCTCCTCTAGGCCACAACTTTGGTAGCAACTGCTCTCCAAGGCCACAGTGGCCCTGTCTGCATCTCGCATGCCACTTCCTGTCCCTGCATGGCAGAGGGCTGACTTGCCACAGCCATGCCAGGTTGCACAGGTCACGAGACTCTTAACAGGCCTGCAGCTTCCTTTAGTTCCCTCCAATGGCTAAAACATCAGTTTTCAGCCAATCTGACAGCATTTCAGGTAGCCAGCATGGCTATGGGCTTTGGAGACATTATGTCCCTTGCCACCTGCTCTCTGTGGCCTCCCAAGTGTGTGGGCTTTATCCTGGATCCTGAAAACAAGTCACGAGCAGGACAGCCTTGGTGATAAACCTGACAGCCATGCAAGAAAGAACGACATCATTTCCTGAACTACTGGCTTGACACTGACTTCAAAGGCAGGTTCTAAGAACATGAGTCCTTCAGGTGAGAAGCAGACAGAACCCAGCAGTGCCCAGTGGTCAGTCACAGTGCCAGGTACCACACAGTCTGTGGCACAGGCCTCCACAGAAGGACACAGCAGGTAGAAGTAAGTCCCCCCTCGGCAATCTAACTCAAAAGGGGCCCTGCAAGGACTCCTGATTTATCGAAACCTGGGGTAAGCAGGGTGGGGGACGCCCTCCCCATGTTTCCTCTTATTCTGTAAACACAGCCTGTGGGGATGATGGTGTCCTCACCTGCCGCTTGGGTGCTTACAGTAACTGGGTATGAAGTCGCCTGTGTTCAAAGTCAAGTCCTGCTCTTTGCTGGCTGCTGGCTAACCTTGGACACGTCACTTGGCCTTTCTAGGCTTTGGTTTCGTCACCTGCATCCACCTCATAAGAGAACTAGGTGCACTGAAAAGGACGGGCTTCAACCTCCTGGCAGCTCCTGGTGGTGACTACGTAGCCATCTGCTGACTGCATTTGTCGCCCACCTGACTCCTGACTCCATTCTCACAACTGATGAGTCCTTTTCCTGCTGACTCTGTTTCGTCCTGGCAGCAGCCTGCAGAACAGGACGGCATGGGCATTCCACGGAAAGGTAGGGGACCCAAGTGCTGCAGGAGGGAGCCTGGCAACTTTCTTCCCAAACCTCCACTGAAAGGACGATAGGGGACCTGTGTGTGTGTGTGAGAGAGAGAGAGAGAGGATATATGCAAAATGGCACAACAGACCTGAGAAGGTGGGGCTCACGGCCAGGCACAGGGAAGTAGGGACTGCCTCAGAGCAAAGCATTCGGCATCACCAGTCCCCTGGGGTGGGGAGCAACAGGGTACTGAGGTGCACGTGGCTTCAGACGTCAGCTGCAGCACCCTGAAGCCCAGCCAGGACAAAGGACCACTGGAAGGAGAACAAAGCCAGCAGGTGCAGAGGCCACTTCCATGCCACAGGAGCAGGTGTGGAAGTGGCCACTTGAGTGGGGCAATCTAGAGCCCCCAACCTTGACCCTTTGGGCCCTGCTGCTGGCCCTGTGTGGGCTGCAGTTGCTTAGAAATGCTGAGTCCCAAGCTCCAGGTCAGACTATTCTAGCAAGAGCCTGCGGGGTAGAACATGTTTGGGAGAAGAGCTGGACTCAGGCTGCTCCCTCAATATGCCTGGGAGTCACCTGGACAGGGCCTGAGTCCCTCGCTACAGGAGACAGAGACCACACCTTGTGGGAGAGCAACAGGCTAAGATGTGGGGATCAATACAATCAAGGATCAAACGACAACTTGAATGCACAAACAAAAAAGTAACGGGGAGAGAAGGAAAGTTTGCAAAGCAACAGCAACCAAAATCCGGTCAATTCATTTGTTCTCAGCAAAGAGAAGATGCTGTATCTGTGAAACCATGCAGCACAAAGAACAGAAGAAGGCTCTGAGAAACCAAAAGGTGATCCTAGAAATGAAGACTCATGAAGGTTTGGAAACAGGAAGTAGAGGGGAAAAGTAGAGACGACAAGAAAAGGTTGGAACAGCAGAGGGGGAGCCCAAGTTGGATCACCTCTTGGAAGTTCCCGAAAGAACAGAAGATTAAGAATAGTGACAGGGATTCATTAAAATGACACAGAATTGAAGGTCAGGGGTTTCCACATTTAACAGGCCGAGTAACAGCATGAAAAGACCAGGCCAGCATGAGATTTCAGTGCGGAGAAAAGAGGTGAAAGAAGAAAACAGGAGATCACAAACCCCAGGGAAGCAAGACAGACTCCCAGAGAAACACAGTCCCCTGAAGGTGTGGAGCAGCATCTCGGAAGCTGCAGGGTAGGGACCTGCAGGTCAGGGTTAATGCCTGGCAGACTCGGGAGGGTGTCAAGACAGAGGGTTCAAAGGTCCTCAGAACACTTCCACCTGCCTTTTCACAAACAGTGGAGTAAGCAGACACCTGGGAGACAGGCACCTGTCCCAACAGGAGAGAAGGGAGCTTCCAGCCTCAGGCAAAGGCAGTCCCAGCACAAAGCACCTGGGCGCAGCATGCAAGCAGTTGGACAGGAGCTGGCCAGAAGGTTCTAGGGAGGCTAATGACACTGATGTCACTTGTGAAGGGATTTGGGCAACGGCAGAATCTGGTATTGAACTCCTGATTCAAGCAAATGGAAATCAGCACAGTGATTAACCACAACCACGGGGGTGGGGGGTGGGGGGTGGGGTGGTGGCGAGTGGTACAGCTCAGGAAATGAGCCTTGCAGGCTCTGCAATCCTAACAACAAATACAATTCCCATGTGGAGAAGGGGGAGTCTACTGGCAGTGGGCGTGTGTGTATGTGTGTGTGTGTGTGTGTGTGTGTGTGTGTGTGTGTGTGTATGTGGGCGTGAGAGAGAGAGAGAGAGAGGAGTGAAGCAATTACATCATCTCCGTGGAAAGCCAACAGGAAATCGCAAAACTGAAATGCCACCACCCAAGCGTGCTTTAGAGACAAGAGTGAACAGCGGTCACCGGCCGAACTCACCGTGTCTCATCACAGCGACCCGCACTTTCGAGGTCTGGTTCCCGGCCAAGGAGAGGGCGGAGCAGCGGTACTCCGTGCTCTCCTGGATGGCATCCCGCAGCCAGCTGAGCGCGTGGGCCCTCCCGTCGGGCAGCGCGTGGGTCTGCACGGGCACGCACGTCTCCAGGGCACGCCCATTCTTCTCCCAGAGGAAGCGGATGTCTGCGGGACCTGTGGGCACGTGAGCATCTCTACCTCTCTCCGAGCCCCACTGGAACCCATGCGAGCTGCCCCAACAGGGGGCAGAGGTTACCCGATGCAGGGCCTTCTTTAGTCCCAGCCAGGCTGAAGGTGATTTGAGGCAGCTTCCAGTTCAGTCCCTGGGCTTCCCTCCCGCCAGGTGACCACCAGGAGAAAACGGCTGCAGGTGTCCTGGACTCCCCTGCTCCAGGGGCTTCCTGCTCCTTCACCTGGGGTGTCTTTATTCAAAACAGACCAGCACAGCCTGCATCCCCAGGACACAGAGCCTGGGACCCCGTTCCTGGTTGCACTGGGCACCCATGTACGCTCCCCAGTGGCCGCCTTGAGACAATGCCTGGGGCTGGTCCATTCTGCAGATGGTTCTTAACCCTGGAATGGCATCCTGTCCCTCCCTGGTCCTGTGGTCCCCTCTTTGAAAAGACCCCAAAGTTACTGCCATCCCCAGGGCCACAACTGCTCTCTATGACACCGACAGGCCGGGAAACTGGCCTGCCACATGCCAGGAGCTCAGACAGGGGGCCGGGGCTTGTCATCAGGCACTGGGTAGGACCTTGAAGGCTTCTCTGGTCCAAAGGAGACACGAGGACTTCCGGGAGGGCTTGGAGACACTTCTGCCTGCAGAACTCAAGTCTTGGTTGGGCTTGGGCATGTCACCCCAGCATCCCCTCCACCCACTGGGCTCCACACCGCAGCAGGCCCTGGACTAAGGGAGAGCCAGGCGACAGCAGTCACGTTGACCCCAGAACTCTGTCCTCCGTCTACGTCTTTTTACCTTAATTGCTTATTAAAGACATGAAGGCTAGGGATACCTATTTAAAACTCTGAAGTCTCACCCATCCAAGGTGGAGTCCCTGCATCACACAGGTTGAGGAGACCCAGAAAGTGTGTGGGGCAGGGACAGGAGCCTTGGCCCAACCTCACCTGTGGAGGCTGGCCTCTCTCCAGGACCTCCCCAGACAATAGGCTACAGGTGGGAAGGTTGTGTGGCTCCAAGTACAGGAGGATTGAGGCCCAAGGCCAGGCCAACCCTGAAAGGCCACCCTCTGACCCCACATTCATTCCAGGTCAGCCAGGGTAGGGGCAATGAAGCCTTTGTGTAGAAAACCATGAGCAAGATCCAGGCCCTGGTCCCAGAACCAGAGCCAGCAGGGCCCTCAGCAAGTCACCTTGCCCATGTGTCTAGCCTGTGAGCCTCAGAAACATCTGAGGCTAAGACTGCTAGCCATGCTGGGCAGGCCCACTCTCTGCACCCCAGAGGAAGCAAGCTGGGGCAGCTGCACCTTGGAGTGGTTTCCAGGGGGGGGCCACTGGAGCCAGCGCAGCAGCTCAGCTCGCTCAACTGCGCAGGTGTGAGCAGAGGCTGCAGCTCGGCTGGTGTGGCTGGGAAAGGCCAGGACCCACGGGCAGCCCTGCACAGAAGTGCGGGAGTCACTTCTGGATGGGGTGGGGCTGGGGGCCAGGCCCTGGCTCAGGCTGACCCCTGCATGGCACGGCTGCCTGGGTTAGACCGGGTATCCCAACACTGGACAAGGGGGTCTCTCACCCAGGGCCCTCGCTCCCCAACACACCCGCTCTTCCTCCTCACCTTCCCACTCCCCAGAGGGGCTGAGAGGTCACCCAGACCAGTGCAGCCACAGCCGGGCCTGAGGGCAGCCCCCACTTGACCATAACACCTCATAAGGATCAGTCTTCAGAAATCAGTCTCCCCAGATGCCTGTCCACCTGGAGTGGCAAACTGTGGTATCATGGAGGACACTCAGCAGGGAAAGAAGGAACCACCTACCTGTAACTAAAATTCAAAACACGAAGCAGGAAAAACAGCAGAGATGAAGGATTTCTGGTGTCCTCATGTGTGCCTGGGGGGAGTGTGGGTGGGCAGGCACAGGGGTCCGGAGGTGGGAGGACTCATACCTCCCATTCTGGTGCTGGCCAGAGAGATGCTGGGTTTTTAAAGAAACAATTTTGCCAGGTACAGTGGCACAAGCCTCTAATCATAGTGCCTTGGGAGGCAGAGGCAAGAGAATTACAAGTTCAAGGCCAGCCTCTGCAACTTAGCAAGGCGCTGTTTCAAAAAATAAAAAGGGCCAGGGATGTGCCTAGCGGTTAAGTGCGCCTAGGTTCAATTCCTGGTATTAAAAAAAAAAAAAAGATTCCTAATTTAACTAAGGTTACTTTTGTGATGAAATTTCCTGCTGGATCAACCTTGGCATCTGTCCTACTTTGTCCCATCCCTTCAACAATCCCCCACCCTTCAGGACTGTCAGAGCACTTCCAAGTGCCAGAGAAATGCAGATGCCTAACTGGACAATCTTAGGAACGGGTTCCAGGGCCATGATGGGAACATGGTCCCCAAGGCCCCCTTCCTGTTCGAGGAGTTGGGAAATGTCCAGTGAGGAGGGGTGCATACATGATGTGAAAATCACACTCATTCATTAGGAATTTCGATGAGAACATGTCAAAACAAAATGTGGTACTAAAGTGAAATGGGAAAATATGCAAGGGCCCACGTCTGTGTATGTATGTACGTAGACATGTCTATGCCCGTGTTGTATGTCCATGGACACGCACAGAAGAGGCCTAGGAATGGCAATGGGGATGGCTACAGTTGGGGGTAGTTAAAAGTTTTTCTTTGTGTTGTCTTAGGGTTTGTAAATTCACTGTAACAGATATTGCTAAAATAATAAGTGCTAATTTGACAGATAGCCATACGCTCTGAGGGGAATTCTGAGAGTTGTTCCAAATGCATTTTACACAGAAGCACATCTGGCCACGGCCCTTGTAGGCTTGTGTGTGGATGTGAATTCTTTTTTTATTCAAAGTTTTTTCTAATTAGTGTTCTGAACTCTAACCCAGGTACCTGTGTTTATAAAAGTGTATGAATGCATGTCTACATTCATATCGACACATCTTTCTCTACGTATGTAGATGCCCATCCAACAGGGGACATCCATCTTGTCCCTCAGTATCAGCGAGGGATTGGGCCCCAAGGAGGCCACCATCCACAGCCACTAAGTCCCTCATAGAAATCGGGGGAGTGTTTGTGTACTCCTCGTGCTCACCCTCTCATATGCTCTGAAGTAGCTACAGGTCCTCTATAAAACCCAATATGAATGCTGTGTGAGTAACTGTCACAGTGCGTTGTCCACAGCAGTGACAAGCCTGTACGTACTCAGCAAAGGAGCAATTTTTTTCTGGATATTTCTGATCCACAGTAGGGTTGAGTGCGTAGGTGTGGAAGCGGTGGGTACAGAGTTGACTATTTCCCCTGCTGCACGTCTTTCAGGACACCACAGTTTACTCAGCCCCTCCCCCAGCACCCAGCTAACATCTGACTTGATGAGACTGATCCTCTCGAGTCTGATGATCAAGTGATGAGACTTTTCTTTGAATATCAGACACTAAAGTCAGTTCTACAAAAAAAAAGCCCAGCCTCCCCCCTCATTCATCAGCACCACCCAACAGAAGCTTCTGGAAGGGTCTCATGACCAAACCCCAGGGTTGAAGAATCCAGGTAGCCGAGATGGAGCACCTCCACCACTACAACCCCATGGGCGGGGACCTCCAACTGTGAGATTTCCCCATACCACCCTTCTGGGCCAGCATGGAACACGCCAGGTACATACCCTGCCATCATGAGGACGCTCGTCCTAATATTACTTAAAAACGTGCCAACTCATAAACACAAAAGAGGTTAAAGGAGTACTTACGTTCCATTCATTCTTTTTAAACTAGCCACCTCATTCTGAATGCGGAGATTAAAGAGAGAGGGAAAGTGAGAGTTAAAACCAGCCTGCAGAACCATCCCTTCAGCGCCATGCCACCAGTGGGGACAGGGGAGGTGGCTGCAAAACTGAATCTGTCCCCCAGGGGCCGGCTCAGGCGCGTCTGGGTGCTGGGTGCATCTTTCTCGCACCTTCCAGCTGGGCTCTGCTGAAAGCACCACTCGTGCCTTGGGCCACATGCTCTGAGTCCCCCACCATCCAATCCTGCCAGTTCAAGGTCAGCCAAGCTGGGTGCCACCCCATCTCCCCCAGCAGCCCCTGAGAAGTGGGTCAGGCAGAAGTCTCAGTCTGGCACAGCAGTGACCAAGCCACCACCAACCTGGACATGTTCCTGGCATCAAGTGAGTGGACACCAGTCACTGTCTGACCTTCAGAGGGAAACTGCTCTGGCTAGGAGGGATCTGACTTGATGGCTACCTGACCTCCTGTCCCCAACATGACAAAGGCCAGGCTTATCCATGTCCTGCAAATCTCTACTCCAGCTCTGGAAAGGATCTTGAAGCTTCCTGCAGATTTGGGCTCAGCACCGTCATCCTGTGCCCACCCGCCAGTGCCACCCCATAGGACTGAGGGTGCCTTGCAGATGTGACTGTGCCTTGAAGTTGCTTCTGCTGCAACACACCAGCCTCCTTCTAGCAATGGCCTCCCTGGGGGAGGCTGACAGGCCTGGAGCTCTGAGGCCATGAGAAGGGGCAAATGTGAGGGACCCACCCCAGGCCACTCCCCCAGTGAGTGCCACACTGCTGTTCTGTGTGGCACCTGTGTCCTCCCAGTGGCCACCCTGTATGCAGCCTGCCCTGACTCCATGCTCAGGCCCAAATGGCCCTCCTGCAGGTAACAGGGTGACAGCTGTACCCCAGTGGGAGCTGTCCCCTGAGGACCCAGAGCAGGCTACTGAACATCATGGCCCATCCCTGCCAGGGCCCATTGCCAGGGTAGCCCCGACACACACTCCCCCAGCCTCTTTTCTCAAAGACTCTGGGGCCTATTTGCCCACCACTGGGCCCCTCCCTGGGGCAGGGTCGCTTCCTTTCCTGGGCAGGGGTTTCTGTCCCCTCCTCTTCCAGACTCTGCTCCTGTGGGAAGGGCAGTGTGGCCAGGGGTGTACCCTGAGGTCACCTGGTCGGCTCTCCTGTCCACTCTTCCCTGGAGGCCTGTCACTCCATCCTGCTTCACTCAGGCCCACTCTGAGCCGCCCAGGGGGCCAGGGTGGAACAGAAATGTCAACTTCTTCATGTTTTTTTCCCTTCTAGAAATTGTCTTTATACCTAAGAACTCACGAGCTGCTTCAGCAGCCATATCACATTGGCACAGCACTGTGTTGGGTGGAGTGTGTGCCACTAGCTCAGATGTCACCTTCTTTTGTCCTTGGCAGGCTAGGGTTTGGAGAGACAGGTCAGAACTGAACCCCATCCGGGTCAAACTTCTGTTATCCCCAAGGGGATGGAGCCAAGTCCCAAGTGTGCCAGGCCCTCTCTGCAGCCTTGATGATGGGCACTTACCAGAGGGACGGCCCTGAGCTTAACATTCCCCTAAGACACTCCAGATTCCAAGGTGGTCAGGATGGCACCTGGCGGTCCTGAGAGGTGACGGCCAGTTGTTAACAGGGATTCTTGGGGAGCCTGGACTCTGGGCCCTGGGTCCAGAGGACACCCGAGGATCAGCAGGCCGCTGTGCAGGGCGATCCAGGCTCAGGACCCTGGGTGAACACAGCTCACTCCCCAAGAACACTCTAGTGTCCACCTGAACTCAGCAAAGTCAATGCCGCTAACCGGCAGCCTGGAGCCAGGCGTGGATCCCTTTATCAAAAGCCAGCAAAAGTCACCAGGCACCTAGCCCTGAGCCTTCAGGCAAAAGCAGTCACGTGATCTTCACCACCTCCCAGCCAAGGAAAAGACCAGGGGAGAGCCAGACGGCTGGAACGTTTGTCAGTGGCCACAGATACGGGATCCTGGAGTGGGGAGGAAGCCCTGGAGGGCGCCTTCCTAGTGTGCCCCTGCCTTCCTGGAGAAAGGGGCCATCAAGGATGCTGACTCTCCGGCCCACCCACCTGGTGGCTCACAGAGGCCACTGTGAGTGCTAAGGACAAGGGGGCTGGGGACTCACAGAGCCTCGCAGGGTCTTGGGGTCTGCAGCAGGGAAAAGGGGCCTCTGTCCTGGTCTCCAGTGGCCCCAGTTCCTGCAGCGCACTGCAGGGCGGTCCCACAGGCGCTTGGCTCTCACTAGTGCCTCAGGCATGGTGAACACTGTGAGCTGCTCCAGGGCCTGGTGGCGCCTGGTCTCCAAGGACTCGGGCATGAAGGCTGAGGAAGGGCAGAGCATGCCCAGCTCAGAGGACACTGGGGGCTCAGGGACCAGGCCAGGCTCACTCTCCCAGCCGCCATGCTTGGGGCCCTCTCTGGAGTCACCTGAGACTACCTGTCCTGTGGAAGGGGGCATCCTAACTGCCTGTTCCGCCACAGGAGACAGCCACGAAACCAGCCTGCACAGCTGCCCCTCACCCTGCCACAACACGGCAGGCCTCCCTCCCCTGGCAACTCCCCCTCCGCAGACCCTGGGACATTTCAGGCGGACCCACCCTGACCCCCTTCAGCAAGGCTCTGACCTCCCCCCTCCTACATGGCTGAGTGAACAGGGACACATCCCAACCCCTGGCATGGAGCACGCTGGGCAGGTGGGACTGTCTCCAGGTGCCACACAGGCCCTGGGTGGGGGCAGGGGAGGCCCTTTCCTCAAGTCCAGGCCTGACCTTTGGCCAGCGAGGCTCTCCCTGAGATGAAGGGTCTCCCAGCAGAGCTGGCAGGAAGCAGCCGGGGACTGCAGATTCCACATTCGCACTCTCTCTAAGTTCCTGTTCTAGAAACCCTCTGTTAGGCCTTTAATCAGACAGCCCCAAGGCACTTAGGACAATGACCACAGAAAAGCTGTTTGGGGAAAGGGAAAAAACTGTCAGGGTTCCAACCCCCCACCCCTTGCTGGGAGGCAGCAGGTGGAGGCTGGGAGAAGGCTCTGCATAGAGGGAAGCCTGCGCCTCACCTGGAATAGCATCCATCTGCTGCTTCCAAGGCACAGCTCCAGTTGCTCCTCAGAGGCCACACCGGGGCCTCTGCTCCTGGAGCAGCTCAGCCTGCAGGCCCCATGGGTCCCTCTGGGTGCACCACAGGCCAAGCCTGCCCGGGATTCGATCCTCTCTGCACAGGACCGAGGCCAGCCACCCTTTCCACGGAGAACCTCACAAATGAGGCTACAATGGAACAAGGGAACAGAAAACCAGGGTCCCAGCTGAGGCCAAGTGTTTCTGGATGGAGAATAACGACCACACGAGGAGGAGGGCAGAGGAGACTGGAGGCCTGTTTCCAGTCTGGTTCCCCATCCCTTCCAGGTTAGGCTCCTCCATCCCTCAGTTCTCGGCCATGCCCTGAACACTGCTGACCGCAGTTGCACTTCACAGATCCCTGGCCACCAGCTTCCTGTTAGGTCTGGAAGCACTGACAGGAGACAGAAGTCGGAAGGAAGAAACCTGTCTCCAGCCCAGGACCTCTTGCCAGCAGAGGGAGGCTGCAGGTTCCCAGGCCCAGTCTCAGTGGCTTGGCAAGTGGAGCGGGCAGTGCCATCTTCCTTCTGCTCATCTGGCCCATGCTGGTGGTGGCTTCCTGTAGCTCCTGCATGTTGGTCCTAGCCTTTCTGTCACCTTTCTAACAAATCCCCTGCACTACATTCTCCATGTGTGAAGTACCTGCAGTGGTTTCTGCTGATATAACAGCAAGGCACCAATCTTTCATTTTCTCCCACACCCAGGTGCTTATATGAACACCTGGCCAACAGGTAACAACCTGAGAACCTGTTGTTTAAACAAGTAATGATCCCCTGCCACAGAGCCTGCCTGCACCAGCCAGTGAAGGAGCCCTGGGTCCTATGCCATGTCGTATGGACCCAATGTTAGCTTCCTTGGCTCCCCCACACCAGGGAGGTACCTGAGCGCCTGTGAAAGACTCCACTTCTGCCACAGGCCACAGGCCACCCAGCCACCTGAGGGACTTTCCACCCTGCCTGTCCCAAGGTAGAATACTTGACTGAAGGACAGGTGTCTAAGTCCAGGTTTGGTCCACAGCACTAAGCAGAAGAGCCTGGGCATTCTGCGCACAGTGGTGCACACCTGTGGTCCCAGCTACTGTGGAGGCTGAGGTGGGAGGACTGCGTCAGCCCAGGAATTCAGGGTCATTCCAAGCAAGGTAGCAAGACCCCATCTCACAAAACAAAGAGCTTGGACCACAGGAGTCAGTCACTCAAAGGCCTGTCCTTGCAGCACTGATGAACAAGCAAGTCCTGTCCCCCACCTGGGACCTGTCCAGTGCCACCAGTTGAAAACTGGCATGATGCATTCACAGCGGACACAGGCCACCCAAAAGCTCCCAGAACTTTAACAAGAAGTGAACCACAGCTTAAAACTGTATAGTTTATTTAAAAAAATGTTTTTTAAAAGATAAACTGGGTTTGTTTCCCTTTTTCAAGTTCTCTCTTCCTCTCTGTGCAGGGGCCCAGGCCACAATCAGACAAAACCAGAGCCCTGGGCACTGCCTAAGCCAAGGACACATGTGGAGCATGGCTTTAGCTGAACTATCATCTTTCTAGATGTCCTTTCAGAATATTCTCCAACACAGGCTAAAGCCCTCCTTTGGGTAGGACACGAGATTTTCAATATTTCCTGCCTTCCATTCCTCCTGCCCCGGTGGAGTGTGGTGACTGTGACCAGGAGTCCCTGATTGCTTCATAGCTGTGGTGCGCCTGCTGCCTGGGAATGTTTCTGTCCAAGGACACAGAATGCCCAGTTGCTCTGGTGATGCTCTGCCTGAAGAGGCTCTGTCCAGGAGTCTTACTGATCTCAGGCACACAGCTCCCAGCATACAGGAATTCTGAGCTGCACAAAACAACTACAATGTTTCAGCAGGGCTGCTACTTCCAAGCCTGCTTAACAGTAACTCTGAACAATGGGCTCCCTGGGTGCCACAAGAAGCCCCAAGCATTGCAACAGTGAAATAGCTGCAAGAATGTTTCTAGCCCTGTAACACTGCAGTGCCCAAAGAACAATGCTTTTACTTAATGATGAGACCCTAGAAAAATAACTTGCTGAGCCAACTCTTCACTGTTTTTCCAGCAGAGTGCAGTATCCCACCTGATCCCAGCTTCTCTTAATATCTCCCTCTGTGCGTGTGGGTTTCTCTTAATCCCTCATTGTCCCTGGCCAGTTCCTTGGGTGCCCCTCCCCCCACCTTTCCAACAGGTGACCTAGTGCAGATTTAACTCATAGCAGTGAGCCCAGCTACAAGGGAGGTGGAAACCTCATGGAACGAATCATCAACACAATTTCCCTCTGGAAGCTCTAAAGTTACTTATTAAAAATTCCCAAATGCCTCATCTATTAACCTCCCATTTTTTGAGAAACAGTAGCAACCCCCTACACAAGTGGGCAAGTTGTGGCTTTGCGGCCAAATGTAGCTCACTGCTGTGTTTTGTGAATGAAGTTTTATTGGCACATGGCCCCACCGACTCCTTACGGATCATCCATGGCTGCTTCGAGAGTTTAAGACCTCGTGGCCCACAAAGCCTGAAATAGTTAACATCCGGCCCTTTATGGGAAAAAGCTGGTTAACCCCTGCTGTATACCGGGAACAGCTTCGTGCTGATTGCTTGCAATTTATCTCAGGCTGGACCCACCACAAAAGCATGACAGAGCCACAGCCAGGCAGGTGGTGGGCAGCAAAGTCAGCACCTGATCCAGTGGGCATGGAGGAGGCCCCGCCCACTTGCCTCTGGGAAGACAGAGCAACGGATGGGATGACTGCAACTCACCTGTGGCTTGGCAGAAGAGGTGGAAGGTCCCCAGAGCATGCACCTGCTGTGCCTGGTCACTCAGGAAGGGCGGCAACAAGATGACCCGTGGGCGGCTGTCGGGCCCTGAGCTCAAGGGCGGCCAGGGGCTCCGGGGAGAGGAAGGCCAGTCAGGAGCCAGACAGGACAGGGAGGAGGAGCCAGGAGGAGGGAAGGGCTTAGGAGATGAGGCTGCGAGACAGAGGACAGAAAGGAAAGGGCACTGAGGCGGAAGTCGTCAGGAACACACCCCGTGCCGTGCCGGGAAGGTGGTACACAGCAGGAGACAGACACGTGGGGGTGAGAAAGAAAGTTCCCAGGCGACCCCGCTCACGGGGAGAGGACACATGGCCTCTGCTAAGTAACGGCCTGCCCAACTCAACCATGGAAGCTTCTCGTTTATTCAGGTACTTTCCAAATGTATACAATTCAAAGTAGAAAAATAAAAACCACGTGAATTTTATAAAACACAAATGTTTACACCAAATGGTCAAATCAGAGCAGGCTGGAAGATGAGACTGTCCACACAGGCACACAGAAATCCGGAGTTTATTGCTCTTTGCCATGGAAATAAAAGCCTCTTCTTACTGGGTATTCACAGAGCAGGGAGATGGAATGGAAGAGAAATAAAGGCGGAGCTCGTCCCGCCCACGGACAGCCTTACGCACGGCGGCAGAGCTGGTCGGGAAGGGCGGCCACGTCCACAGGTGGCTGGGATCACGGCCTGCCTCTGGTCCAGGGTGGACAGCTCTGTTAGACGTGGGGCATGTCTGGGCAGGGCAGTGGGGGTGAGATGGAAGCAAGAAGAGACAGGAGATGATCAGAGAGCCAAAGACGTCCTGGTGAAGTGCCATCCGCCTGGACGGGAGGGTGCCTCCGGCAGCCACGGGCATCGGGTCGTAAAATGCTCTTCCCCTCATGGGCCAGCCCGATCGTCACAGGGACCCATCGATCCACCTTGCATCATTCAAACCCGTCTTGTGGATGTGGGACAGTCCTCCTCTTCAAGAGTGAAGAAAGAAAAAAATAAAGTCCAGAAACACAATCTCTCTGCTTCCCTCAAGGAATAAAGTTTAAAAAAAAAAAAAAAAAAGAGTGTGTTCAAGAGATGGTTTCAGGTCTACGTTTCTAGAAGCAGAAAGAATGGATTTAGCAAAAGTAAGTCTATCCCTGAGAATCTTAAGCAACATAAGCCATATTTTATCCCAATATATAACAAAATCTGGAAGATGTACATCTTCTAAATATTAAAACATCTGCTCCAGTAATTTTAAAAAAATGACCTAAGACATTAATACCCTCAAAGCAAAACTTCTAAAAAATAATTAAATGGAAGAAAAGGTTCGTGCCAATCTGGACAACAGGCGATAAGTTACCAATCTGATAAACTAAAACGTCATTTCCAATCTGGAATTAAATTATCTTTTAGTGGCCGCTACAAGGAGGGGAAGCGGAGGGGATGCTCTTCTCAGCCGACCAGGTCCAGCCATCTCTCCCCCACGACACTCAGGGCTCAGGTGAATCGGTGCCGCCGTCCACGGGCACATCTTAAAGCTCCAGCCAACCGCAGGACTCAGACCGGGACGCGCGACACTTGCTGTTTTCCAAGAGGACAAAGAGAAACAAGTCACAGACTCAACCCAAGAGAACACAGAGGACTGAGGTTTGCTGCACGGTGACAAGACTCAGCTACAGCACAGGTTAAACACAAGACTCTCCACGCGGGGACTCGAGACACTGGCGGGGACGTGGCCGGCCTCAGTCTCCGTCTGCGTCCGAGTCGGCGAATTTCAATTCACATTTGACGTCGAACGGTCTGTCCCTGGCAGAGAGCTCGTCGATCTTCTGCGAGTCCTCCCTGTCTGTGGGCACCTTGCTCGTGATGGTGTCCTGCTCCGTCTCGTAGCCGGTGTCCAGGGCTGGCTTGGGCTGCTCCCCGTTCTGCTGGGAGAAGCTCCCTGGCTCCACCAGCGTCTCCTTCACACTCTGCTCCAGATCAGAAAAATCCGACTTGGGCTTCTTCTTCCCGAGCAGCAGGGCCGAGCGGAATTTTAAGCACTGTCCGGGCAGGTAGCCCTGGTAGCAGTTGTAGGAAACGAGGCAGAGGAAGAGGACGAAGATGAAGAGGAAGAGCGACATGAGGAGGCGGTTGTCGCTGGACTTGAGATACATGGTCTTCTCCGAGTGGAGCTGGGGGACGGTGTTGAAGACGATCTGTGGCTCGCAGGACGTGCTGGTGGGCGCGGGCTTGGGAGGTGGGGTGGTGGCCCCCGGGGAGGTGGCCCGCACAGCTGGGGTGGGAGGAGAAGACCCCGGGGTGGATGCCACAGACACTTTGGAGGTGACCCTACTCTCTTCCGTCCGGGTGGCCTGCAGGGTGGGGGTGGCCGAGGTCCGCGGGACCACCTTCACCTCCAGGAGGTGCTTGGCCACCACCTGGGAGACGGTCTTGTTCCTGACCCTCTCCTCTGACAGGCACTGGTACACCCCACTGTCGCCTTCCGACAGGTTGAAGATGAGCAGGTTTTTCCTGCCCATGAGACCGTACTTGGGGCTCTCGGCCTTCAGCACACCGTTCTGGAACTTCCACACCACCCGGGCCAGGTTGGACTTTAGGGCGCATCTGAGCTCTGCTGTGCCGCCGTGCTTGAAAAAATGCTGCCGGTAACTTTCTTTAACTTTATCTGGAACATCAAAATAAACGTGCACAGCGTCAACAAACTGTTCGTTTACCCAACTTCTTTTAAAAATAGGTCAACACCCACAAGACGGCACAAGAGTTTCACCCAGTGGAGCAAGATGGAATCTTCTAGAACAACTAAGGAAATAAAGACATGCGCGACCGGAAAGCACAGATGAGCCCCATGTGGCAGCCTGGGGGGACAAAGGAAACTGAAGACAGCTCTGAACCGCAGAAATCCCGTTTCTCAACCCTGTGTCCCAGGAGAAGACACACCAGGCAGGGGACGGTGGGCACAGGCCAGCCTGCACCTGTACCCAGCCATCAATGCTCTTGCTAGTGGGAAGGCTGGCTGTCGGTCTCCCTGGCACCTGCCACCGGCACTTTTCTTTCTCTCAGGACAGCTGTTTAGAGGAGGAAGGGCACGGAGCTGAGGGCACACGTCCTGGCCTGATCCCTCCCGTCTCTGGTCACTTCGCTACTTCCCGAGGGCTGGTGGCAGGCAGTGGCATCCTCAAGGGGAAGGCCAGCCAGCCCCGCTAATTCTAGGCTGTGTACTGCTTGTCTGAAATGCTGGGGACCACACGCGTCCCAGGTTTCCAGTTTTGGAATATTCGCATATATACAATGTGACGTCTTGGGGAGGGGACCCAAGCCGAACCACAAAAGTCACTTATATTTCACGTGGAAATTGTACACACAGCCTGAAGGTGATTTTACACAATATTTTAAATCATTATGTGCATGAAACCAAGTTTTTGTGACATTTTCCACCATGGTATATCTTGTGGGTACTGGGAAAGTTCCAAATTTGGGGTTTTGGGGGTTAGGGCTACTCAACCTGTAGTCACGGGCTCCTTTCTTCCCATTACTAAGTTCAGGTTTTGTTTAACAAACCCCAAGCGAGAGAGAGAGAGAGAGAGAGAGGACGAGAGAGGACAGTTTGGGGTGCAGAGTGCTTTCCCAGGAGCTGACACAGCCCACGCGCTTCAAAGCCTGTTCCAGCAACCAAAGGGACAGAGAGAGGTCACGGGTCTCACACAGGACCTCTGTCCTGAGTGGAGAAAGGAAAACACAACGCACACAAAAGCCACAGAACTGAAGAGCCTGAAAATGGTACAGGGACCCGGCGCTGCCGAGGGGACTGGCACTGAGAACCCACTCACCCGGGCACAGGGACGCGTCGCCGCTCATCTCCTGAATCCAGCCCCTGCAAGACAACCGGCACCGGTCACTCACCTGCCCAGGCACCGGGGCCCGCGCGTGGGCGCACCCGCCTCGTACCTGTGGGGGCCCTCGGCCTGGTGCAGGGCGACGCAGGCAGCGGTGGCCGGGCTCCAGGCACAGTAGGGGTCCCGCGCCAGCACGCAGTCCGCGCAGCTGCTGTGCTTCTCACAGAAGGCCAGGGGTGCCTGCACCACCCCCGAGTTGGAGCCCGCGTAGACGAACCTCCTGCCCTGGGAGGGAGACAGAGGTGGGGCCGGGTGTCAGGAAGATGCTCCACGGCAGGGGCTGAGCTTCTTCACCAGATTCTGGTGAAGCGTCTGCAAGCACCGAGTCAGAAGAAAGGCCTCCCTAACGGGAGCCAAAGCAGGCCGCTGAGGCCGACGGGAAATGCTATTGGAGCTGTCCAAAGGCAAAGGCCAAGGTCCATGATCAAGCAGAATCCAGCTGTTGCTCTGACCCCCGCCCTCCCCCGTCTAGGCACCTGCTGCCCACCTGGGTGCCCCCTGCTTCCCTGCACCTCTCTCCTTCAGGGGTCAAGGCCGCTCAGACTCCTTGCAGGTCCCCCTGCCTGTGGAGGGGGACCCCCCGTGCCCCACACTCCAAGCCACCTCCTGGCCTCACTATAGGTGAGCTGTGAGTCTAAAGGCTGACCTTAGTTCTTCCTGCCAGAATGCGATACCTGCAGAGGGACAGGGCTCCCGGGCCCAGCACCTGAGTGCTGAGTGCACGCCCAGATTCAGAGCAGCATCACGGCCTCGAGCCAGAGAGGCAAAGAACCCAGGCTGGCTTGAGCCTGGGTCAGATGGTGACCTGCCCCACGTGTCCACCACAGCAGAGCAAGAGGCCTCGCTGCCATCAGAGAGAAGCACGTGAGGAGTGGCACTTCTGCTCCAGCTGCAGGCGAGGGACAGGGAGGGCACTGGTGCCGGCCCCTCTGTGCCGGGCCTGCGGGGCGGAGGCGCTGCCCATCAGCTTTCTACAGATGAGGGCTGCTGCTGCAAGGGGCGGGGGGACAGTCCTTTACTGCTGACCATTCCTCTCTGCTGCCATGGTGGTACCAAGCCGCTGACATCCACCCAGGCTGAGGAGAGGTGTGGGACCCCATGGCGGATACAATGCTTTCTTTCCTGCTCCTGACAACTGAGCCGTGTCCCCAGGTACCAAGGCTCCTACTGGGACAGTCACACTAGTGGTCCACTAGGACCCACAGCCACCAGCCCTTCCTCCTGGTGTGGCCACATCACCTAGTTCTGGCTGAGGGCAGCCACAGAGGACTGATCTGTAACGGCCCTACACGGGAACCCCACCCCGATGCCTTCCAGAATTGGCACCCATGCCCCCACCAGCCTGGGTCCCTAAGTGACAACACAGAGCAGAGTTGTTCCACAACTGACTCCCCCTGCAGAACACACGTCCACCCACCCCTGCTGAAGGTGCAGGGGAACTGCAGGTCTGACCAGAGACTCCCAGCCTCAGAGGAAGGCGGCACACAGGTGACATCTCAGCTTTGTCCCAGAGCTGGGCTTTGGAAGTGAGGTGCTGGTGAGACGGGCCAAGCACCAGGGCCAGCATCGGACACGGCAAAGGGTCCATCTGCTCAGTGTCACAGCATGTGGCCTGCCCAGCCACCGGGTTCTCCAGCACCCTGCCCTCAGCACTTCAAGAGGCTGGTGAACCCTCGCAGCAACCCAGTGAGGGGGGACTTCCACTCACTCCCATGCCCCAGTGAGGAAACCGAGGCACAGGACAAACAACTGGCCTCCCAGGTCAGGGCCACATGCAGCGGACAGCATCTGGATGGACGAGTCAACATTCTGCTTCTCCCTGCTCCAAACCTGCTGCAGAACAGAGTGGCACCTCCTACCAAAGACACTGTGGACGTGTGACAGAGGACGGCAAGCGACAGCCACAGGGTGACTCCAGCCCCCACCCCTGGCTGCTTCCATGAGCTCAGGGGGTCCCCAGTTCCAAACGGTTGAGAAAAACCTAAATGATATTTTGTGACCTATGAACATTTCAGGAGGTGTGACGCTCACCCAGCTGGGGCTCGGCTTCTAGCCCACAAAGCCTCACACGTCCACCATCTGGCCCCGGACAGAAAACGTCTGTCCACCCTGATGCGGGAGGAAGCACCCTGTTGGCATGTAGAGAGAGCTGTGTGGAGGTCGCCTGTCACTTCTCTGCGGATGAGTCACCAGTGTCACACCCCACTGACAGTCTGCAGCCTCACCAGCGCGGGGCACCAGGACGTGCTTTTACAGGCAGTGCCCACCTCCCTGGCACCATCCACGTGTAACGATGAGGCACGGCCCCTTCGCCTCCCAGCTCCGTCCTCCCTCCTTCCCAGACTTCAGATCCGCCTCCTCATGGATCAACTCTGGAGAATCTGAAGGCCAGTTCATCGGGGCCAGGAGACGGGATCTGCC